TTTATCAAATAATCGAATAGTAATTGATGAACAATCGATAAACATTTCATTATATATTCTCGATTCGATCGGATAAGTTTCAAAGAGTTGCATCCAACAATTGGAATTTCATTTTCAGTCATAGTCGAAGATAAAGAAACGGATGGTTCTCTCTTGCGGTAAAATTTTCAATTGGAAAAAAAAGAAAAAAATAAGGCGGTTCAGTTAACGAACAATGATGATGATCATTTCTTCAAGTTTTCTATCGGTTGTTTCCTCGAAGGTAGGATCGGTAAGGAGTTGTAAGAAACTTATACAAAGGGGGAAGAAATGGTCTTGCGAGGGGGAATGACTTATTCATTCGCACGAAACGGCACGAGCGATCCGGAGAGTAGACCTGGGATGCAAAACGACAAAATACGTGATATATACGGTGGTATACGGTTCAAGTAGAAAGTGGGAAACAGACAAGTGGTATAATAAATTATAAAGGAAGACATTTTTTCGAAGGGATTGCATCCGATTAGATCACTTTCCGATATTATCCGACGAGGGATATTACGCGTTACGTGATATACCTATATCGATTCGAGAATAGGTGTATCGAGTTTTTTTTTATTTTCGATTATCTTAAAAATAAATGACACGTTTATTTGTAACACATATATTTGCGTGCAACGTGAACGATAGGACAGATAAAACTTGTTATTTCTCATTATTTGCGAATACGCTTAATTCCCATCGCGATTCTTTTTCTGCCTTTCCCTTTTTTCGCCCACCTATTATACGGGTGCATATATGGTCTGTCTAATAATAGCGAATATCTCCTTTAACTTCTTTTTTCTTTATTGTTAAATATATACGATTATGCATAGGCTTGCTGAAACAATTGCCTGTTAACAGAAAGAGAAACCGATTTCATAAAATAAGCTGCGTATTGTATGAATATACGTGGAATTCAACGAACTTGTAACGATAACGAGCACCTTCAATAGTACACTTTACCTATTTTGTTCTTATTCTTCATCGATTTTGATCTTCTTCGATCGATCGATCTATCGACCATCTAAAAAGTAATTTTAGATTTTACATTTAAAATGTAAAAATAAAACGTGTACCTTTACCACGTCTCACTTTCGCCATACTGTGTAAGATGCATTTTAAATAACAGCTGGACGCTTATCGATTGCTTTTCTATTGAGCTCGCATTTTCATTAATAAGTTCTAAGCCAGGAGACAACAAACTAACTTGTTTATCTTTTCCTAGTCAATAGAACACAATAAAAAAACGCATAATAATATCGCCGCATTAGACATACTCGAAAATTTAAACTACATTTGAGAAACGAAATAACGTTATGCATCTTTTTTTTACTAATATTTATATATTTATTTTCGTCGAATAGATGAGAGTTTTTTTTTAACTATGCTTGAAAACTCTTTCAACTTCGAACATGTTTGATTTGTTTGTCTATTTTCTATTGTTCGCTAAGTAAGAAGATATCGACATCGAATAGTATGCAAATATATCGATATAAACACATATATATATATATATATATATATATAGATTATTACTTGTACTTTCTTAGTTCAAAGAAATATATATTCTGATAGTCATTTTCTTTACAAAGGAATAGAAAAATGTGCACGCAACGATGTTAATATCCATCGATACAAGGAATACAATGTTATGGCATTAAATATGCAAAGCGTTGTTTTGAAAAGTTTCATTGTACCAACTTTCAGACCCGCCCACAGACTGCTATTAATTTTTGATCGAATACGTTACTGTCACGCCATCGCGTATTAGCCGGCCTTACTCGTCGCCAGTCTACAAGGAACGATCTGTCGACAAATTCTATTCTAAACCCTTTCTTTCTCTCCGACAAAAAGAATGCTTCTTATTGTCTTTCAAATTCTGTTTTGTATCAAAACGACTGCAAACTTATCGATAAGGCGCTAATTTTTAATGAACTATTTATATTAGGAATGATGTAATTTTGAAATTACTCACAATAATAACGGTCCAAGTAGGTTCCTCGTTGCGAGATAATAAGCATAAATATAGTTTCTCCATGGGTGATTATTAAATAAACCCTTTTATGTGATAGATACACGTGTGCTGTTCTTTCTTTCGTTCACGACCTATAACCGAAAAAACACAACAATTTTTTTTTTACTTTTTTTTCTTCTCTTTTTCTTTTTCTTTCACTCCTTCTTTCTTTCTTTATTGTACATAAAAAGACAAAGAAAAATATTATTTCGAAATATGAAAAGGTTTGAATTTGGCGGTAGTCGTTGATAAACGATGCGATTGAAACGGCGCGCGAAGAATGAATGTAACGCGTTAAACGTTACATTCTACCAATCAAGCGCGAGCGGCGCGCAACGGTGCTGCGCAGTGGCGCCACTGCGCAGCAAGTGTCATCAGGGCTTATTGACTAAGCTCATTCGTCGAAAAACTTGGCGCTTTTAAATCCTCTTTTAATTTAAGAATTTTTTATATTCCTTGAGCAACGTACTCGAGTAAACGAATAGAAAATGATTTTCTACGATGACGATAATGTCTATCTATTAATTATTTTAGTTATTTTTTATTTCCTGTTTAAATGTTAAATCGATTTTACAAGAATCGCTGATTAATCTTTAGATAAGACCACGTATCCACATGTAACTATCGAACAAACGAAAGTGTTGTCACACCTATCAATGGTTTAACTATTTTTCAATAGTATTCTCATTCTGGATAATTGGATCATTTCGTGACGGATGCTTATACGAATTTAAAATCTAATTGCATTATCAAATATACGTATGTTATAATGAAAATAATCCAAATATAAATTTTTAAAGAAAATATCTTTCAAATGATTAATACGTAAAAAAGCGTTAATTGACAAGCCTCTTAAAACATGTCGAAAACTATCAAGATATCAAGTGCTACAGATAATCCTTTACGAAGACAAGCTTTCTTTTACAAAAAATCAAAATATTACGATAACGAAAAATGTACAACGGGTATAATCTCGGCAAACTTAAAAAAATCTAATATATTAGGAGAACGAGGAGTAAGAAAAATGATATATTTTCTATCTTTCAAATAATCGATTATCAACAAAATATTGAATTAAAAATTTTTTTGTTAATTTCAGGCAATAAAGGTACGAAATGAAAATGAAAAGCAGAAACAGGATAACGCTTTCATCCGATCAAGAAGACCAATTATTATTACAAGCAAAGAGTATAAGGAATTTAAAGAGCATGGTCATTATTTAACCAAAGAAGAGAAACAAGCGGCTATTGCAGCAATAGAAGAGGAAAAACAGAGACTAACCAAAGATAGCATGACACGCAAAGAACTTTTTCATAAAATGGACTTGACAAAGACACGAGAAAAAGACAAAATATTAAACGAGATAGAGGAAGAAGCCAAAAAAAGGACCATGTATTTACTCGAAAGAGCTTACAATTTAAAACTCGAGCAAGAAGAAGAAATTCAAAAGTATAATCGGCTTATATTAGAAACTAAATGTAGAGTCATAAGAGATATGCAGGTATTACGTCGCATTAAAGCATGCAATTACATTGTAATAACAGAATGTGTATTGTATAGAACTGCTCTTTTGTAGATAGCTGAAAAGAAATTAATCAAGCAAGAATTAGCCAAAGAAGAGAAACGTTTAAATGAAATGATGGAAAACGAAAGAAGATGGGCCATTAAAGAGGATTTAAAGAAGGAAGAAGAAGAAACTTATAAGAAACAAGTATTCGCTAAAATTCTAAAGGATCAAATAACAGAGAACGAAGAGCAACGAATACTTGAATTTGAAAGAAAACAAGAGGAGAGTCAGCTAATTAATATGAATAACATATCTTGGCAGCTAGAGGAAATGAAAAAGTTGCATCGCAAGGAAGCCGAAAGTGCTAAAATTCGTCGAGATCTAGCAGAAGTGAATGAACAATTAAAACATTTTAAAGCTATGGAAGAAGAAGAAAATAAAATAATAGATTTAAGGTAATATCTATAATTTGTTGCTTCACATTAAATAAATATGCTAATTAAATTTATGTAACTTTTTTAGGATAAAAGAATATCAAAAATTTCAAAAAGAAAGAAAAATTCAATTAAGTGAAAAGCAAAGATTGGAAAATTTAAGCAAAGAACAAGAAAAAGAAAGACTAGCTGCACAGGCAAAGCACACGCAAGATCTTCAAGTGAATATTCAACATATGCTATAATAATGAGATCAAATGGTATTGGAATATAACACAATTATTCAAATTCTAGATACAAATTGATGCAATAAATGCAGATCGTGTTCAAGAAGAAGTAGAAAGAGAATGGCGACAAAAAGAAAAGGAGGAAGCTCTGAAAAAGATAGAAACCGTAATGGATCTTAAAAAAGGAAGAGAAGAGCAAATAAAAAACAAAATATTGATGCAAGCGATTGAAATTGACAGAGAAAAACGTGAATTTGAAAGAATTCTACGCGTGCAAAAGGAAGCATTTTGCCGCGATAAAAAGAACCGCGAGAAGAAACACCAGGAAGCTCTTAAGATTCGTAACGAGATATTAATACAGGTCGGTTGGCGTACCGATCATGACGAATATTTCAAATTTTTTGCCCAATTACTTATGTTATATATTATGTATTTCAAATTCATTTACATTTTATTCTTTCTTTAATAGGTAAACGAAAAAGAAAAAGAACGTATCCGAGCGAGGCAAAAGATGTTTGAAGAAGGATTGGCAATTCGTGCAGAAGCCGCTATGCGCAAGAAAAAATTACAAGAAGCTATGGAACGAAAATGTAATGAAATGAGAGAGAGTAAGGTACCCGAAATGTATGTTAATGAAGTTAAACGCATAATCGAAAATATTAAATAATATATATATATATATATATATATATATATATATCTTGTATAAGAATTCTTATTTGATAATAAATACCGTCATTATGCATATTTAACATTTTACACTTATTATAATAAAAAGATTTCTTATTAATTATCTGTACATATCTGTATTATAGAAAATATGAATAATGTAATAAATATATATAATTTATAGAACTAAATTATTTCCATAGCATAACGATATTTGGATCGCGTTCAACAATTTCTTCTATTTGTGCTACACTTTGACCTGTACTACAACAAATTTCATCCAAATTATATGTTCCCGTAAAATATTTATAAACAGGATTATTTCGTGTTTCTTCGTTATATGGTACTCCAGGCAGAAGTATGGGATACTGAAATTCATATAATTGCATATGCATGCTCTTTCAACCGATATCTATATAGGAAAAAAATGTTTTAAACGGAAGAACACACCTTATAAACTCTTCGTATAAAACCTTCGATTAGGCCAAATTGGACCAATCTTCTTTCATTAATTCTCAAATTTTGTGGATTCAAACGTTGACATAAGTCCCTCATACTGCAGCTATGAGTCATGCTTGCATAAGTACGATATATATCTCTGAGGTATGCGGGTTGTCTCGCTACAACAAATAATAATAATCTTTCCTTAAAACTATGCTGTAACATACTAATGAATTAGGTATTAGCACTTACAGGATTTAGATGCATACGAAATACATCTTTCTTGTAATTTCACATCTTCTGCTAATTGCTTTAATTTTGGTGTTGCCGCATAAACATTACTGTATTGAAATATTGGAATTAAGGTTACAACGCTATAATATCTAAAAAATAATAAAATGTATTCTATATTATTTACAGATTTAATTAAAAGCATTTAAGTTAAAAGTATTTGTTTGATATAAACTTACGCTAAATTTTGCACACAGCTTTTAACTAAATTGTTTTCTACATCTGCTTCAGCTGCTATACGAGCGACGTGATTAAAGCCATCTATATACGGTAAAACTTGCTGAGTAGTTAAATCCCATTGATCACTATGAAATGCTTCTCTTCCTTCTAAGAATATTGGCACTTGATGATCGAGGACCGGTTTAGGTTCTGGCGCAAGTTTTACTACTTTTAAATGCGACGTCATTGTTCCCTCTTCAAAAAAAAATTGATTAATGCATAAGATAATAAAATGATAAATATATACAATTCTTACCTGTCAGTGTACACATTTTATGCAAATTTAATTCTTGCATTACGTGTCTTAGCATTTCTGCTAATCTGCTTTTATCATCAGAAGTGGATAAGAAACAGTTCTCAATTTCTAAAGCCATCTAATATATAAGAAATATAAAATATTCTACTTAAGTATAACGTATCATTAAATATATATATTCTCTTTTATATTATTATACCTATAAATTTGTTAAGGTAAATGAGTACCAGAAAATCTGACATCTTCTTAACTACTGGTTCATAATGAACTGTGCGAGCTTCTGAGTCACATACAAAACATAAATTAAAATAGAAAGCATTTCTGGCATATTTTTTATCATCTATTTTCACAGGAAATCCTAAAATTTTATAATCTTTCAATGTCCTAAAACGATTAACATATTTCTTTAATTCAGACTTCAATTTGTTTGATTGATTAAGAAAGTAAATAAACATTTTTAACTTACACAGTAATCGTACTTCTTTGTAATTGTGCCTTTGGTATAATATAAACGCTGACATTATCAAATATATCTTTTGATACAAAATTATCAGGTACCTACAAAAAAAAAGAAAAATAGAGAAAAAAAGATACAGAAACTAAACGTTTTGAATTAAATAAATGGAATATTTTATATATATAATATCTTAACTTAACCTGACAAGTAATCTTTGGTCCAGCTATATGATGAAACTCGGAAAAAAATATACATCGAATTGGCCCTTCCTGTATTTTATCCTCTGTACTTTCTACAGCTGCTGATATCATTTTGATTTTCTTTTTAGTCTTGTTATTACACAGAATCTATACGAATTGTATCGAAATAAAAATAACAATACTCAATTTGAATCTGACAGACGATGTTAGAAATGTACGAAAATGACGGGACAGATTTTTGCCACTAGAGCGCATTAGTGTGACTAAGATCAGGTTTTTTAAACCTTATTTATTGTCACGGAAATGTAACTATTGTACTCACGCGTTAAAGCAATAAGAACAAATTTTTTATTATTTTACAATTATTTCCAAGATATTATCGTCTATTTGTTATGTAAATCTATTCAATTTCATCTTACCTAGTCGCAATTAAGTAAAGGATGGAAAACTAAATTTAAAAAGTCCAATTAAAAGTAAATTGTAATTTATTATCGTAAATTGCACTTTTTACAAGACTAGAAATTCGTCTAGCATAAGCAGAGTTAAAAAAACAATAAATAATAGATTTAATAAGGTTACTCACTTTTGGTGCTTTGAATAAAGCCACTTTTCCTAAATTCTCACTTGCCTTTCGGCCACTAAGGCAACCGAAAACGGCACAACTCTCCCATTTTTTAATAAAAATAATTCTAAAAAAATAAATTAATATTTTATATTTAATTTAATTTATTTTTACATTCACGAGCCAGGTTAACCAATCCGTATTTACGTGTAATAATAATAATAGTATCGATACGTTCTGAATATTTGCGCAGCCAGTGGCAAAAAAGAGAACTATGATATGGGTCAAGAATTGAGTACCACAAATAATGTGAAAAATCCTATACCCTTCGGACGAAGGGACAACAATAAAAATTAAATTAACGATAGAGACAACAACGACGTTAAATGTTAACATCGATTAGAGACCCTATAGGAGGGACGCGCGGTGTAGATTGCTGGGGGACAGGAACTCGTTTAGTCACGTGATTGCGCGCGAAATATTCAAACATTGAAATAATTATGAAATAATGAACTGCATCAAATACAGAAAAAAATGAACTATATTTAATGATAATTAAACATTTATATTAAAATAGAATAGGTTACATACAAAAATTATTATAAATTCAAGCGGTCCCCCAAAATTTTCAGCCAATGGCACATGAGCTGAATATGAATGGCGCATCCCTCCTACAGGATCCCTAACATCGATGCGATTCGAATGCCATCTAAAGACTTCACCATGTAAGTTAATCGACTATCGATTATTAACTATCGAATATTGGCAACGCGCCTAAAATAAAATGCAAAATATACCGATATGAACAATATCTTCTTATCATCTGAATAGATAAACGAAGAGAATTTTGTTCGTTAAATAGTTAAATTGTGTTATACATTGCTTACTATCCTCTTCAATAATTTAATTATCTTTTTAAATATTTTATATGTAATCGCTTGCGCAAAAGACCTTGCAGAACAAAAAATCTTGTGTTGCTGACTTCATCCTTTACCCAACACTATTCACAGAATTCTTATAGCGATCCCATTCGTACGATAATTATCGTACGAATTAACTTGATGACCCTCCCTTTTTTTTTTTTTT